ACCAAGCTTCATGGTCTAAAACTTTCACTACTCCATGCATTTGTGTCCATTCAATTGGCTCTTAGCCACCACATCCTCCCAATCTACAAATACATCCTGCACTTTGAGTTTTCTCACTCCCTACTCCTTCACTGGTGACACCTCACCATGCTTCCAGTTCATGGAATTATTTTAACTGATCTTTTATCCAGATCCATCATTCTCAATAGGACGGCACAGTGGCTCAGTGGTTAGCACTGTTGCCTCACAGCGCCGGGGACCCCAGATTCAATTCCAGTCTCTGGTGACTGTCTGCGTGGAGTTTGCACATTCTCCCCATGTCTTTGTGGGTTTCCTCTGGGTGCTCCGATTTCCTCCCACAGTCCAAAGATGTGCAGGTTATGGTGGATTGGCCATGCTAAATTGCCCAGAATGTCCAGAGATGATGAGTTAGCCGTAGGAAATGCGGGGTTAAAGGGATAGTGTAGGGGCATGGGTCTGGCTGGGATGCAGTTCAGAGGGTGGGTGTGGACTCAATGGGCTGAATGGCCTTCTTCTACACTTGTAAGGATTCTATGAATGAATCCCTCTCTTTGACTCATCACAGGAAACAATTGGCATATCACTGGGCTGAGGAATCCAAGAGGGTTGGGTTGGGGAGAAGTTGGTAATTATCAGTGCCCTCATTTCCCATGAGGAGAAAGTTCTAGATTTAGCTGGAGATGAGCATGAGTGCTTATGTAAAGATGGTACATCTTCGATGAGTAAAAACCCAATAAGCTTCATTGTGAGATAACAAGACCTGCAGATGCTGGAGTCAGAGACAAAATAGTGTGGAACTGGAGGAACGCAGCAGGCCAGGCAGCATCAGAGGAGCAGGAAAGTTGACATTTCGGGTCAGGACCTTTCTTTGTTTTGTGTTTTGTTGCTTCCTCATTCACCAGCACTAATTAATTTTTATTCTGCACAATCTTTTGCCCCTCTTAGAAAATTAATTGCCTCTTTTCTTTTAAACGGGAATTAGTGGCACCCAGGGAACTCCCGTAAAGAAGCCAGTACCAGAGACCCTCAGCTCATCTTCACCTCAGAAGATGACCATTGAAACCCTCAGAAGATGCAATGGTAGACTTTCAACTGTATCCTCCATCAGCTCAGAGACTTTCACCTTGGTCAGTACTCTATCTAGATTCAGACTCAGGAGCAGATTCCGGTGAGCACCTCACTGATAAGTCTCCCCAGCTGGTTAAGGAAGGAATGTCCTGAGTCTATAACAGTTACAGAGCTGCTGGAGACCAGGCACCTGCCCAGTGCCAGGCAAAGAATGATCCGATAAACTCAGCCATTAGTTACTTCGTCAAAATGCACAAGAAGGTCATGCAAATTTATCAGAGGCACTTAGCAAACTAGGTCGAATGATGGAAGAGACCACCAATGTTATCAGCATAGCACTGGATCTACTGTGTGTATATCTGGCAGTTCCCAGGGTCACATTGGAGACCACAATGGAGAGCGAGGTCCAGCATGCTCAATGTCTGGCGGACATACTTCGGACCTGATCTCCATCGCTGTAGCCATTGGTGCTCTACATCAATGGTGTGGTGAGAGGGGCACAAGTTGTCTCCCTCCAGGTGCCCCGGGGAACAGAGTGGTTCCAGTAGGCACCCCATCGGGAGGAGGATCCCACACACATCAGACCCCCAGAAGCTTCTTTGTGGGGAAGGCAGCTGGACCCTCCCCTACCCCACGGTGATTGCAAAACCAGCAGCTGTCCAAGCTAAAGGCTGTGAACCTGCACCTGGGCATAACACACTCAGCAGACCTCGGCCTTCTAGATTCAAAGGTGCCAGCACCAACCGGCTAAGTCAATGGAACTAACCACAGAGCAGGCTACTTCCACCTCAGCTGTAGCTAAACTCAGACGTAGTGGGAGATAGAGGAAGAAGGAACCTTACTGAGGGAACACATCACTGTAAATAACCTTTCATTTTTGTAAATATATCTTCACTGGCTGTTAGAATGTCTGCTGCAGCATAAGTTTAGCTGCCAGTCCTGGTGAAGTCGCACGCATGTGACAGATGAATAACCTGTTCAAATATTCCAAGAATGAAAGGAATTGTTACGGTCAAGCATCAATCACCTCTCTCAAGTTAGCCTCAGATGTCGTGAATGGCAGGCAGTCATGGTGCAACCCCTTTAACATAGGCAATAGTGATCATAATGCAATATGCGAGAATTGTGCTAGGGTCTGGCCTGCAAACATCATTCCACACCTTTTCTCAGTGAAGGTGAGGAGAATTGGAAGTGGCATACGACTAAGATGACTTGGGCCTTCAAGGAATTGCAAGTGTATAGAAGTAAGTGTAGTCAGCGCTCAACAGCAAGATTCTGAAGTGTCCATACAAACCTTGGAGGGAAAATTAGGAAAATCTTTCTCCATGTCAAATATCTGATTGTTCCATCCTCACTGTATTTCACTGTACTCGCCATTACTTCTGCCACACCAGGGAGGGGAATATTATGCTCATAACAAAACTTAAAGGGAATTACTGGATAGATGATGTGGCGGCCATTTCTCTCTGGCTCGAGACTCTAAATCAAGGATAAGGGGTCAGCCATTTAGAATTGAAATGAGGAGAAACCTTTTCAATGATGCCATTACAAATCTTAGGAACTCAGTTACTGAGGATGATGGATCGGTGAGCATCTTTAATACAGAGGTCAATAGTTTTCTGGATATTAAGGACATCAAAGCATACTAGGGTAGGAAAGGAGAAGTTGAGGTAGAATCCAGAGGCAAAAACCAACAAAAAGCCATAATACTAGGAAATGAATGTACTGGCCCTCCAACTTTGATATGTACAACATGAGCCAGAGCAGTGCGTGTCATTCGTAAGTTTTACTGGCTTCTCCTTCTGGGAAGATGAACCATGATCGTATTGAATGGGTACACAGGCTCAAGACCTACTCCTGCTCCTGTATCTTATGCTCACGTCAGTAGTTCTTGGACCAGCTAATGTTCCGCTGTACTAAATTGACAGAAGTGAGTTGAAAGTTCTTTTACACAACAGGGCTTCATTCTGCCCTGTTGTGAGCTGTTTTCTCCTGGAATGAGAGAAAGGGAGGGAGTGAGTTGGGGGACGGGTTCGGGTGAGAGCGGGTGAGGGGAGGTTTTACAGGCAATAGTGTGACTGGCAGAGCAAGTGCCTTGGTGGGAGCTGTGTGCAGGAGCAGAGATAGGCTGCATGTGTGGTAGTGGAGAGTGGAGGTCATTAACCCTCTTTCTGCATTCCTGACTTTTCCTTTGCTCTGTGGAGTTGGTACTGAATTAGGAGGTAACAACGGAACAGACTAACAGGGTTTATTGCAGTGGCCATCTCAGTCAATCCTTTGGGAAGAGGACTCCTTTCCTTTGTACCACTCCATCCACCAGGATCACCAGGTACCCTGAAGGAGAATTGGTGCTCCATCTTCCTGTTTTCCAATATGTTCCGACTCGGTCTGTGAACAAGCAGGTCATCTTCAGAAAGCCAGTTCTCATCCGGGGGCACAAGGCTTTTAAAGATGGCGCAGACACAAGGGATGCTGATCTTACGGTGGAAACCTGCTGAGTGGTAAATTGTTCTGATAAGAGTGTGTGGTAAATTGGGGACAAATTTAATGAATACCACAGGGCAGGGTAGATAAATAAAGTGACAAAGTAAATTTTGGTCAGATACAGAGAGAAAGGTTTTGTGGTGAAAAGCCTTCCAAAAAAACACTTAGAGCAGCAAAAAAATTTGCAAGATTCAGTCTCGTTTTCTGTTTTTTTAAGTGTATCAGCAAATTCTTATTATATTTGCAAATTGAGAATCCTTGATAAAACTTTAGATCAGACTATCACATTTTGAAAGCAAACTATCTCATCCCACCATCAAAAGAAATAGACCGACACAAGGAGCAATTTATTAAGTTTGTGGCAGTGATTGATATAACCAATAAAGCAACAATTATTGTCCCCATTGCGTAGAGTTCAACAATCTGCTCTCATGTTTTTAAAAGAAAATCACTTTTATGGAATGACGCTGTCTTTAAAAATTAAAATCCACATTCAGTTTATATCACAGTCATCCCTGTCAGAACATAATGATTGCATCCTTTTTCAAGCTTAATTTAATAATCCATCGTGTAAAGTAGAGCAATTGTGGTCCAAAATATATTTTAAGCTATTCTTTGGCATTGATCACCAGTAAAGCCATGACCACACTAGCTTGTGATTTAAAGGCGCATTGTTCTCAAGAATTTACAGCTGATGAACTGTGGCACCAAGTAAACCTGTGATCATTTTCCCATTTGCAATACTTCAACCAGTTTAGAGATGCAGATCTTTTGCAATGTGTTAGCATATCATAAACAGCTGTCACTACAAAACTCACATGGAAAGGGAAATCCTAAACTGTCCTTAATTCAGTTCAGATCAGAGATTTGAAATAGTTTTAAGAAAAAGCACTATTCTCGAGTGAGAATACTGAGTATCCATGACCACCACCATTTGTCAATGAGACATATCTGAGAGCACCTTTAGATCACTAACAAAAAATGATGAATTAAATGTGAATAATCCCCCCAGGTGATCAATGGCACTTATGAATAAGTTAAACTCATAAGCTGAACATGCCAAGCATCTATAAAGAAAGTAGAAATGAGTTGTTTACTGAAAATAACTATTGTTTTATTTCCTTCAAGAATTCTGGCAAGGTTCTCGATGAGAGCTGATGATTGGTGGGTGGATCAAGTTTTTTTTGGTGGTTTCATTGCATAAACTCTAACAAAGACCTGTGGAAGCATTACATGATCTACATCAGACGTTACTATGCAACTTGAAACAGGTTGTGGGACGAGGAAGGATTAGGTTTCCATAAAAAGTAAGCTGTTGAGTAGATTGAATAGAAAATTCCACAGAAATATGAACCAAAATGAAGAACTCAGGAGGTGATTAGAGGCAGCTTCTTAGTTGGGCGACAAAATTATTTTGTAGAATAATTCTTTTGCTCTGTGCCAGTTCAGAATGATGTACTAATGGGAACTCATTATCAAAAAGGAATGAAGATGTAAAAACTATTTTTTTTGCACTGGTCTCAAAAATGTCAAGAGTGTAAGTATTTTCGTATCATCAAACTTAAGTAATGTTTCTGTATCATCTTATCTGTTATTTGCTTTCATGTGATAACAAACAATTCAGTTGCTGAGTCAGAATTATCTGTATGCTTTCACACCTCGATTGTAAGAAGTTTTGAGTGTCTTTCTACAGGCTGTTCACACAGCAAACAGGTAAGATCTATCTGCGAACTGTACAGACACAATGTAAGGTATGGAAATATTACAAACCCAAACTTATGGTTGGGCTATAAAGTTAAATCGACCTGGGACATTATTGATTAAAGATAATATTATGAAGTATATAACAAATATGTTATTACAATGTAACAATTCATTCAAACTTCTTAGTTGCGTGCTAGTGTTTCAGAAGAAAAGCTGTCTAGGAGTTATTTATAAATTTTGTATGTGATTTGGAGCTTAGAGTTTGACCTATGAAAATAAATGCTGGCATTCGGAATAACGATCACTTTGTATTTCTTGAACATAGTAAAGTTTTATGAAACATTTTCCCTTTATCCATTGTACGACACATTCTGCATTATGATAGTGCCTTGGTTTCAACTTCCCTCATTTCAGAATGGGATTTAATGCAAGATTGACTGCATATTGTAAATCTGAAATTGATAGATTTTTATTATTGGAAGTTATTATTGAAGATTGGCCAAGGGCGGCTTAGTGGTTTGGGCTCACTGATCAGATATGGTCTCACTGAATGGTTCAACTGGAGCAAGGGGCAAGCTTTTCAGCTAGCCACAGGGTCAGAATTGGAGACACAATGCTGTCCCACTTGTCATTGTGTTTGTTCAGTTGCATGTTCCTGATCCAAGCCATTTTTGAAAAAGTTTCATTGAGTTTGGAATGATTACCTGTCCACCAGTGGTCCAGAGCCTATTGAGGACGATTAAGATTTCTTTATTGCACTCACTGCGATTTCCAATCAGCTTGTGAACTTTACACTTTAGACCAAGAAACAGCCAGTACATTAAAGCAAGAGGGGAGTGTATAAGTGATCACCGCAATCTGGACCTCACATCCCTATCATAGCCACTGAGCTCCTGGGTCTCTTGCACGACGTTGTGCACATCACTTCTGTTTTGGCCATCTGACCACCATTATATGACTATACGTTACTGACCCTTGAAGGAGCTGCCTGTTCTCTGCAGCAACACAGCAACAGGCTCCATTGTGGCTACCATCTGCCTTTGCTACAGATGCCATACAGGCAGCTCCCATCTTCTGAAGATGCTGGACATTGATGATTGGTTTTAGAGCATACCTTTTTGAATAGTTATATTTCAAAATCGTGACACATGCACGCAGCAGTTGAGATGCAGAGATGGGATTGTTAAGTTCCCAAGACAACTTTGCAAATACAACCTCTTGTTTGAGTCTAAACAGTGATTGTGGAAGGGGAAAGAAAGAGGATCCACAGGGAGTAGAGGGGACTCAAGCTCATCTGGCACCTGCCTGCATCTATCTGGCAAATTTAGCGACTCAGAATGAAAAAATGGACACCCAACTATTTGTGCACCTCAGATCACCCAGAGATAGACTCAGAACTAGATTTTATTGACACGTGTACTCACACACAGGAATACAGGAGTACAATGAAAAATGTACAAAGTTGCCATTCCCTGGCACCACTTAAAATACAAAACACAAAATCAGAATTTAAAAAACAAACAAGAGAAGAAATTTTGCTCTGGACCACAGAGCAAAAAGAAGAAGAAAAAACGTCCAGATCTTGAAGTCCTTATCCAAAAGAAAAGGAAATTGTCCACATTTTAAAGTTTCATCTCTCTGGGCCTAGCCCTGGCCTGGATTTTCAGTCAACATCCACAAGGGGCATGGTTCCCCGATCGCTGGGAGAAGCGACACTGTTGCTGCACTTGCTCAGGAAGCCGGGCCCGCTCCCGCCCTGCTAACGATGCCAAAAAGGCTTTTAAAAAGGAAAAAAAAACAAAAAGAGCAAAAGATAAGGCCGAATAGTCTGTTTCCACGTTGTATGACTATATGTCTCTATAAAAAGCATAAGTAAAAACAAAAATAAAGAAACAAAGAAAGCAGATGGAAACGAACAAACCAGGAGCCCAAACGCAGTGCTGCTGCTCTGCCACCATCTTGAAAAGAGTCTGATAGCAGGATCTCAATGTCGCCCCAGCTAGAATGTGTCAAACCTAGGACCTTCCTCATCTGCATGGCTGAGAAACACAATATACGGTCCCTATCCAATGAGCTCATATCATTATTCAAACTTTAAATCAAATAGGATAGAAACCTACTTATTCCATACTAAGAGATTATGACACTTATAAGAGCTTACATAACACATATGAGGAATAATGTAACTATTTAGTTTTATTAACTGACATAAGTAAACTTTTCCTGCTCATTTCACGTGATCGAATCAACTGGTGGGTGCCCAGCTTTTGTTTCTGGATTTGTACGTAAACCTCTTGATGGGGACAGGACATGTTCGCATTAACTCCATGGTTCCTGCTCTTCATAACAGATCCTAGTGTTTTCATTTAGGACATATTCACAAAGAGATAACATTTGAAATGGCAATCCTTTGCATATCTACATAACCCAAGTAAACAAACACAACAACACGTGTTTTAGACAAAACACCAATGGGTTTGAGCTACCTGGAATCTAAGGGCTGGTTCCCAATATTCATACTTTTCCATGTGGTCTCAAATGTCTTAAATTGGACTAAATACAGCTAATGCCTAATGAATCCTGATTAATGTATCTGTACCTTCTCCTTTTCTCATTAAAAGGTGATTGTTGAACGGATAATAGATAGTGGAGGTACAAAAATGGCTTTTCAGCGATCTTCTAACAACAGTACACAGACCATTGTACCTCATAAAAGGATAGAGGATGAGTCTGTTATCAAGGTAAGGTTTCCCCATCTACCTTCAGAAATATCTCAGGGCACATAAACACTGCCATCTGTACAATGTCTGTAAATTCCATCAAGAATAATAATGTAATTTAATCATGTAAGCGCAACAGGCTTATTTATCAAATAAATATAAATTATAATTGGCCGAAGCTGATGGAGAGATTAGGTTGAACACACAAAGCACATTACAGCTGTTTGATCTTTAATGTGCCTTCATGTTCTCTGTAAGTCAGTAGTGGTGGATTGAAGATGAAAAGTTATCCAAAACAAAATAAAAACTCAAAGACATTTGCCATTAAGCTTTAGCTTTCAAAATGTTAAACTCAGAGATGAAGGGTGTTTTGGAATAAATTAGGAGAAACTATTTCCACTGGTGAGAGGATTGATATCTATAGGAGACAAATCATTGGTAACTAATGCAAAAGCAGCTGAGGAGAATTTTTTTTAGAATAGCCAGCTGTTAGGATCTGGAATGTGCTACCTCAGGAGATGGTAGAAGCAATTTGTTAGATATTTTATACACTTCAGATGGTAAATATGGGGAAGGGAAAGGAGAATGAGACCAATTGTAGTGTGGGGGTCTCTTGGACATAGCATCTCTATCTCTGGACCAGAAAGCTGTGTGTTCAATATCCGCATCAGCACCTGATGGCTACAGATAGTGTATCATAATGTGAACAAGCAGGTTGATTATCAATTTGCAAGTCCTTCTGGTATATCTATGGCAGGCTTTGAGAGTGAGAGGGTTTCCTGGTCAGCCAGAACCAACTGGACAACAATCTCCTCATCTTAAAAGATTCCACTTGTCAGTTCTTGCAAAGAACAAGAATTATTCTTGTTCTGAGGGCCTGCCACATTTCTGTGACTAGTTTCATCCCAGGCTGCTGCAACGGAAAGGAATGGAGTATGTAACCAGGGAATGGAGCTTGTGAGGGAACCAATTCAAAGTCTTCAGACATCCAAATGTCTACGTGGAAGAAATTTCTGCTTATCCAGTACTAGATGTCAGATAAACAATTTGATAAATTAGCAAAGGGGGAGGAGTTGAGAGCAATAATGGAGAAGTGATCATAAACTCACATGTGAAAACCACTTGCAGATAATGTCATCGAAAGGTGTTGTGTAAATGAGAAATAGGAGTGGACCAAGGATATTCCTTGAGGGGACACAATGGGTATCAATGTAGGAGCAGGAAGAGAACCAATTCCAAGTAATTCTCTGACTGTGGTTAGATAGATAAGAATGACACTATGACCTACCTTTTGTATGCAAAGCCCTCTAAACTTTATCTATAAATTTAACATCACGCTGTCTTGCTCCTGATTCCCCCTTTCTCAGATCTACGAGAATACAAGATAATTTATGCAACTGGTTGTCATAATGTAAGTCTTTACACCCTGATACCATTTAGTGAATCTATTCCACTCTGAGCTTGACCAGGGATTTAGGCTATATTAAGGCCTAATTACAGGGGCCCAAGGCTGTGGGAAGTTGAGGGGAGGAGCACTGCTGCCCTTGGGTCAGGGACAAATGAAATGAGCAGCACCAGGGCTCATGATTTCTGCCCCAGTCACTGAGATCTTTGCTGGCAAGACAAGAAGGTGACCAAAACAGAATGTAATATTCTAGATAGGATCTGAATGAGTTTCTGTTTAATGGAAGCATAACTTCCCCTGCTTTAATTCCAATCTGTCCAGATAAATCCCAATATTCCACCAACCTTTTCAATTTTATTTACTTGCTGATGGAACAGATTTTAATATGTTGTGCACCGGACACAAAAATCCTTTCCCATCTTCTCAGTCCCTGGTCTCTCGCCATGGAATATTCCAACTTATCCGAATTGGATCTTCATCCAAAAAAAAACTTGGATCACACATTTCCCTGTGTTTACTACAGTTTTACCCAATCACTTGATCTCTGTAGGTGCAAAGAAGGAGTTGGTTAGAGGCCATATCAGAGATTGTCAGTTTCATGATCATTGTAAGGTGTTGCCTTGCAAGGCTCCCCACCCTGCCCAAAGCCACATCGAAATAAATCATGGCTTTTAGAATCAGATCTAAGAGTTTTAGCCATAACATGGAACTACAGTCCTGACCTGAAGATGGAACGTGAGAGGAAAAAAATACACACAGCACCTTTAATAATACCTTATTCTGATTGCCAGCTTCTGCCTAAATTGCTCAAATTTGGATACATTTCCTAAAGAATATGATGAGAATTAATTGAGAATATGCATTTGATGTATAATTTTTAACAAATTGGATCTATATAAAAACTGAAAAACTGTCTGAAATGATGGATAAGAACCAATTAACTCTGCTGTTCATCCTTAAATTCCTGGTACTACTGACTTGAAGATTTAATTATATAAGAGACTGTGGGATTAGGAACGAGCTGTTATACACGTGATTGAATGCAATAGCCTCCCTAGGATATTACAGCCCTCTCATCACTGACTCGAGACAGGCACTTACTAAATTTAACCTATTGAAAATTTGTGTGGTATTGCAGCATTAAGCTGATGTATTTGATAAGACATTGAAGTCCTGAAGTTATTCCAGATGTTCCAGTGATCTCTGTACCCGAAATCTAATCTGCATTCTCATCGAAAGGGATTTAGCCTGTAATGACAACAGGAACTTGCTGTTATTTAGCCCTGTTTAGGATATTAGATCATCCCAAATAAACTCAAGATGCACTTTTCTGTGTATTTCACTGCTGCAAGATCATAAATGTGATGACCAATATGCTGATGCTGGTGTTCAGAAGGCTAAGGCCTGAAATATCTTATTTCTGCTCAGGTTTCAAAATATCAGATCAAGTAGGGGATCACTTCCAAAGATTAAATTAAAATATTTGCATTTAACCCATATTTCATGTTGTTAGATTAAATTCTTGTGTCACAATTTGAATACACCCTCCAGCACCCTTTTATTACTTTCAGGTGTAAGATATAAATTGATATTGATCATGATACATACACATCAGTCTGCCTGCAATAACCTGCATTTATGTAGCACCTTTAATGGAGAAAATATCCCCAGGTGCTTCACAAGAACATTATTGCACAGAATTTAACTATGAGCCACACTAGGGGAGATGACCGAAAGCTTAGTCAAAGAGGTAGGTTTTAAGGAGCATCTTAAAATTGTAGAGAGAGTTAGAAGTTTTAGGGAGGCATTTCCAGTATTGAAAGGCTTTTGGATCTGAAGGTATGGCACCAATAGTGGTGTACTGAAAATTGAAGATACCCAATGAATGAGAATCTGAGAAAATTCTAAGGCTGGAGGAGGGGATACAGACAGGGAGAGGTGATGAAACTTTGTGTGACAATGTTCCTGTGGTATATAAATGCAAATTTTTGTTGGAGGACTGGAGCTTTAGTGGCAATATGATATTTCGGGTTTATCTGAACAAAAAAATCAAGAGATCAGGTGAAAGACAGATGTGTGGAAGCGAGAAAAACACAAAGGAAAGAGAGAGAAAAATGAAAGAAAGAAAGAGCAGAGAAGAGAGAGTGAGAGAGAGATCAGGGCAAAAAGAAAAGATTGGGGGTGGGGGAATTATTGTACGAGTGTGTCAGCTCACTACTCTGTGTGAACTGCTGTTCATAACGTGGTTTGCTACCACCATCCTCTTTAAGTGTAGGAAACTCCATGGTCCGTCTGCTCTAGGGTGGGAGAGGAAAACCACTTTCTGACCTAACTAGATGAGTGTGTTGTAGTTACCAAATATAGCTTATCACACTTAGTAACGAGTTACGGGTTACAGTGATATGATTAGAAATCATTACAGAGACTTTGAGGAGGAGCTGATGTTAGGTTTCGATTTGATTTAAATTTGATTTATTATTGTTACGTGTACCTCGGTATAGAGAAAAGTTTTGTTTTACGTGCAGTACAGGCAGATCATACCATACAAAGTGCATTGGGGTAGCAGAACAGAGCGAGGAATACCATGGCTTCAGAGAAGGTATACAAGGAGCAAGATGAACATTAAATTTAAAATTTGTGAGGTCCACTCAGAAGTCTAAAACTAGCAGGGAAGAAGCTGTTCTTGAATCTGTTGGTACCTGCATTTAAGCTTTTGTATCTTCTACCTGACGGAAGAAGTTGGATGAGATTAAAACTGGGATGGGAAGGATCTTTGCCTTCCCAATGCCAAAAGAAATACAGATGGAGTCAATGGATGGCTAGTTGGCTTGTGTGATGGGCTGGGCTGTGCTCACAACTCTCTGTAGTTTCTTATGGTCCAGAGCAAAGTAGTTGCCATACCAAGCTGTGATGCATCTGCATAGAATGCTTTCTATGGTGCATCTATAAAAATTAGTAAGACTCTTTATGGACATTTCTAATTTCCTTAGCCTCCTAAGGAAGTAGAGGCTTTGTTGTGCTTTCTTGCACAATGTGGATGGACCAGGACAGATTGCTGGTAATCTCTCTTGAAATACTAGGTTGTTCTGCCCACATCCATATGCTGTCATCATAGTGGATGGTGGCACTCCTCAGTATTAATCCTTTGAGACCCATATACCCCAAGACTTATCGGAGCAGGAGGGAAAGGCAGAAGAGAAAGAATTGTGAAAGAGGTGGCAGTAAGTATTGGGAATATTGCAGCACCTGTGGACATGCAAACTTATGAAAAATAAAAGCTAAAAATAGAATGTGATCTGTGGATAGAGATGGAATACATCTGTATACCATGGGGGCGAATTATTCCTGGTTGGTGGTTCTGTTTCACTAAAAGATTACACTTAGTCTCAACTCTTCATGTACGGTTTGTGGAAGATTTGCTAGTTTTATATCTTATCTGTGGGAATGGCCAGACCTACAATCCCACAGCAATAAACAGATTTACCTTGACTCATTATAGAATGGTTGTAACACAGAAGGAGGCCAATTGTCTTGTCCTCTCTGTTGGTTCTTTACAAGTGCAGCTCTGTCAGTTTCATTCCCTGCCTTTTCTCCATGGCCTTTCAATATTTTTCAG